GGGCCGCGGTGCCGCAGAAGCCCCAGGCGCCGGAGCCCCCGCCGCCGCCGAGCCTGGAAGCAGGAGCGGGTGCAGGGCCCCCGGAGGCGCCGGCGGAGCCCTACCGCGACGGCCCCAGGGAGGAGGACGACCCCAGTCTGGCTCCCGGTCCCCAGGTAGGAGCGAGCGAGGCGAGTCTGGCTGCTCGGGCTCTTTTACCTCCCCGGAGCGGGGCCGGGACGGATTTGGGGATGGATTATCCTCCCCCGGCTGGGGCCAGAGCCTTACCCCCTGGGCCAGGGCTGAGGCTTTCTCCCCCAAGGCGGGAGTGGAGTCTGGATCCTTTGGTGCAAAGCCGAGGCACGGCACGTCCGGTTCTCCTGAGACCAGGCTTCCTGCCCTCTCCCGCAGCCTCCGGGAAACGTTCTAGTCGCACACCCACACTGGGACCGCGCACCAATCTTGAGGCCACAGCTTAGGTCTGTGCCCTTTACCTCCCCTGGGCCCACCTGCTTCCCCACCCACCCACAGGCCACCTCGGGGCGCTGGGGCCTGGAAGGCTGCAGCCTCTTCCCTCTCCCCCCGGGAGCGGCTCCACTCCTTCCCCTCGCTGCCCCCTCAGCAGCTGTGCCCCCAGCATATGTCTCCCGGGGCCTCCCTCCTCTCCTTGCCCAGCGGAGCAGTTGCAGCAGTCAGGCTGCCCAGAAGACTATTTGGTGGGTCTCCTGCACCGAGGTGGAAACCCAGCAAAGCCTGCTCTTTCTCCTCTGTATACCCCCAACCTACAAGGTGGCCCACCCAGACCCTCAAATCCCTGGGTTTGGCGAATCTTGCTGAGAGTGAGCAGTAGAAGGACTCTCCAAAGCTTCCAGTTTGCCACCTGGGAGAAGGTCACTTTCGTTTGAGCAAAGGAGATAATAGGAGGTACCCTGCCGGTGTTCACTGCGAAGCTGGGGTGGCATGAGCCACAGCTGCTCTGGGAGGGTTATGGCACCTGGGGCTGGGTGGCTCGCCCTAAGCTTGCTCTGACAAAAGAGTTTTGAGTTGGTTTTTTGGATGAGCCTGCCAAGGAAGGCAGGCTCCTGCAGGAGTCTTGGAGGGTCGGATGCAGCGCCGGATGAGGATGAGGCGTGGCAGAAGATGCGTTTGGCTCTGCAGACACTGCATCGGGCAGCAGGGGACTCTGGGAGGCTGGTGCAGCCAGAAGGCATGGCTCTTGACAGCCTTCTAGTAGAATCTCTGGAATTGTGCATGTGAGTGGGGATGCTGTTTGGGGTGCCATTCCCAGAAAGCCTTCCCTGACCTCCCCAGTTGCGTGAGATGCCCCCTCTGTCCCACAGCCCCCTGTGCTCCCCTCTGGTAGCACTTCCCATTCTACAATGAGATAGTCTGTTGATGTGTCTGTGCCCTCCCCCCCGCCCACCACGAACTTTGAACTCCACCAGGGCACAGATCATGCCATCTATCCCTGGTCCCTCCACACCTAGCCCTGGGCCTTGCTGACACAGAGTAGGAATAACTAGGTGAATGAGAGAGAATGAATCCGTTGAGAACCTGTACTTATTGTAACCCAGTTTTGATACTGGTCTCCTTTGTGTCTCAGATCACAATCAGATTTTTAATTAATGAAGATGTCACCACTTACTGAGTGTCAGAAGCCCCACCTTCATCCCCACCCCTACCCTGGGCTGAGACTGGTTCCAAAGGATTTGACTCCTCAGGTTGGACCCCACCCTTGCCTGGTCTGATGTCCCACCCTGAAGCTGCTTTCCCCTCTAGCCTTCTCTTTCCC